ATGGGTCAAGAAGCAAAATCCAACAATATGCTACATACAAGAAACACACTTAATTCAAAAGAAACTCATAGACTGAAAGTTAAAGGGTGGAAAACAATACTCCATGCGATGGGAACCAAAAAAAAAGCAGAAGTAGCTATCCTTTTTGCAGATCAAGTAGATTTCAGACCAACACTGATTAAGAGAGACAAGGACACTATATTCTTGTAGAGGGAACAATCCAACAGGAAGAGATGACAATCATAAATATCTATGCACCAAACACTGGTGCACCCAACTATATAAAACAAATACTAGTGGACATGAAAAGTCATATATGCATTAATACAATAGTAGTGGGGGACCTCAATACCCCACTGTCACAAATAGATAGATCAACTAGACAAAAGTAAGTAATAAAATACTAGAACTCAGACAAACTCTTGAACAAATAAACTTAACAGATGTTTACAGAGTGTTCTACCCCACCAAAATCAGAATATGCATTCTTTTCATCTGAACACAGTTCATTCTCAAAAATAGACCATATACTCATTAATAGAATGTGTTTAAGTAATTGCAAAGGAATTAAAATTATTCCCTGTATATTATCAGACCATAGTCCAATGAAATTCGAGATCAATAGCAAAAAAAACGCAAAAATTTCATAAACACATGGAAAGTGAACAACACACTTCTGAATAACCAATGGGTCACAGAGGAAATTAAAGAAGAAATCAAAGAAGAAATCAGACAGTTCCTTCAATTAAATGATAATGACAGTACAACATATCAGAATCTATGGGACACAATGAAAGCTGTCTTATGAGGGAAATGCATAGCAGTGAATACTCGTATTAGGAAAACAGAGCGAGCCCAATTAAACAACCTGATGCTGAACCTCAGCAAGAAAAAGAAGAGCAGGACAAATCCAAAGCTTATACAAGGGAGGAAATTATAAAGATCAGAGCAGAAATCAATTCAATGGAGACTAAGAGAATGATACAAAAAATCAATGAAGTAAAGATTTGGTTCTTTGAAAGAATAAACAAAATTGACAAACACTTAGCTAAACTTATCAGAGAAAGAAAAGAAAAGGCCCAAATCCAAGCAATTAGGACTGAAAAGGATGAAATTACAATAGACCCAGCAGAAATCCAGAGGATCATCAATACCTACTTCCAGAACCTATATGAGAATAAGATGGAAAACACAGAAGAAATGGACAGATTCCTAGATA